AAAAGATTTATTTACTTAACAGATAGTGTGATACCATTCTAAAACACCCACAAGCCAAGCCTAATGTAACATCAAAAAAAGATGTTCCAGAACAAAGTAGTCCTAGAGCAAACAAATTTATGAATGGTGTCTTATGCTAGACTGCCCTTTTTAATATCTATCCCACAAATCTTGACTCAGATTAAAAGAGGTTTTTGAGGGTCTCATATCTTTCCTGCAACTGCTAATAAAATTTTGAAGCAGAACATGGAAAAACTGTCTATCATTAAGGAAATATAATCCTACAATACTAACAAGTCAAGCATCTTCCTGAAAGGGCAATTGTGGAAACATCAGGCTGCTGAACAATCTAAATAAATAAGAAATGCTTCCGTCAAGGAAATGCATCTATAAAGTGTATATAATCATTAATGCAATGTATGCGGGATTATGAAGATCTCTCTGCTATTTCAATAAACATGTTAAAACTCCAAAAATAAAAACAAAAACAGGCAAAGGAAAACTGATCATACTCTATCAGAACAACTTCTGGGTAAAAAAGGGTAGAATTGAGCCTCAGGACTCCTGACAGAATTAGTTACTCTGAAAAACCTGATAAAAATGGTGCCTCCAATTAATTTCACACCATATATTTTTTATTGGTAGGGCAGCATTTTATTAGAAAACAATTTGGAGGCCATCATCTTAGAAGTGTCATTCTCATTTCTTTTATACAGAGAGGAAATACTTATGTGAAGATTAAGGTCTGCTCAAGTCAAATAAATAAAAAGAAATAATATTTTAATTTTTACCACTGCTTATCCATATGAATGTTCAAGGAAACTAATTAAACATCATGGAATGGAATGCAGCATGAATCCATAGATTGCTCAAAAGCCCCTAACACTATCTGTTCTTACTTAATATCCTGCAAATGTTTGAACTAAAACTTCTATAATTTTCTTCCAACATGTCAGTGGCCATGTTGATTGGAATTTGTAGGCTATGTAGTCCGATACATCAGAATAGTCCCAGACTGAAGAAGGCTGATTCTATTTCTTTAATCTAGCAATAAGTAGAACTATCACTCAGTAAAGCACATTGTTTGTCCACAGACCTTTCCTCAGCATTCCCAGATAAAAGTATGAAGAAAATCCAGTATGATACCTAAACCCCAGAGGGTCACTGACAATAGTTAAGAGAGTAGAAGGTTATTTCCTGTTTCTATTTTCTTAAGAATCTGAATATTTCATCATATCTTGGACTGCCCATTTCTTAAGACATTGTGATTGGATATTTTACATTAGATTAATCCAATGTAGGTATTACCAATATTTACAATATAATAATAATTGGAATGGGTTTTGGAGTCCTCTAGTATGCAGAAAATCCTACACTGTTCTGGATAAATGGCTGTCCAATCTCTTCTTTAAAAATCTCCAGTGATAGAACATTCATAAGTTCTGGAGGCGAGCGATTTCACAGGTTAATTATTCTCATTGTCAGAGAATATAAATATCTACTTGGTTGGTTGGATCTCTTTTTGGTAAGTTGGATCTCTTTTTGGTAAGTTTCCATCCACTGCTTTTTGTCCTGCCCTCAGTGCTTTGGAGAATAGGTCAATCCACTCCTATCTGTGGCAATATTGGAAGACTGCTATCATGTCACCCCTAGTCCTTTTTGTAAAGACTAGACATACCCAATTCCAACAACCTTTCTACATTTGTTTTAGCCTCCAGTCCCTAAATCATCTTTGTTGCTCTCCTGTGCACTCTTTCTAGAGTCTCAACACCTTTTTTGCCTTATAGTGACCAAAATTAAATGGAGTATTCCAAGTGCGGTCTTATCAAGGCAGTATAAAGCAGAACTAATACTTCACCTGATCTTGACACCATCCCTCTGTTGATGCAGCCTAGGACTGCATTGGCTTTTTTGGTGGTTGCAGCACACTTCTGGCTCATACTTAACTGTTGTCCACCATGACTCCTAGATCCCTCTCACAGTTACTGCTGTTCAGCCAAGTACAATCTGTTCTATACCTGTGTTTTTGTTTTTTCTTGCCTAAATGCAACTTTACTTTTGTCACTACTGAGTTGCATATTGATGGATAGGGCCCAGTCTTCAAGTCTGTAAAGATCCTTCTGGATCTTCTTTTATCTTAAAAGGGTTGCCTGTTCTCCCCCCAGCTTAAACATTTGATGAATTCTCCTTTTATGCCCTTATCCAGGGATGGGATCCGACCAGTATAACTCCCGGTTCTGTTGCTCTGTGTCGTGCACGCATGCGCGAATCGCTTGAGTGCAATTTACGACCTGCTGAGCTGCCCGGACAGCTGAGCAGTGCCGCGTGTGGGTGCACAGCGGTTTGAAAAGCCCTTTTTTCCTGCTTTTTCAACCCCAGCTGTGCCGCAGCTGAGGTTGAAAAAGCAGGAAATAAAGGACAGGTAACAGTCCGAGTGGGCAGGTAGACCAAAACATCAGCAGACATAGAACCGGTTCTATGTCTGCTGCTCTTCAGAGCAACCAGTTCTACAGAGGTGGACAGAACCAGTAGAATCCCACCCCTGCCCTTATCTAAATCATTTATGAAGATATTGAAGAATACTGGGCCAAAGACAGAACCTTAAGGTATGCCACTGCTCATTGTCATATATTGTAGCTCTATTGAGGAGTACAAGCTGAGTACAGTTGGTCAGACAGTTACAAATCCATCTGGTGGTAATGCTATACAACATTTTTCTATCTTACTAAGAAGTAGGCTGTGGTCTGTCAGTGCATTATTGAAGTCAAAGTATACAATGTCCACAGCATTTTGCTAGTCTACTAATATAGTCTCTTTGTCAAAGAATGCAATAAGATTTGTGTAGTGTGATCAAATATTTTTCAATGGTAATCATCATGATAACATATATAAAGTAGTATTCTACATTTGTTATTGCTAATGCTGTTTATTAACATTGCCAATAGTTTTGCATGATTTACCAATATCCTTTCATTTGTATCCAGAATGCTAATATCTTCATGAATATATTTTTATGAGTCTTATTATTTTAATACACTGTATCACAGTCCAGAAGAATTGGAAAATTAGAACAGCCCTCGAAAACCTTTCTACAAATGAGATGGGGACATACAAAACATACTGAGATAATCATTCACCTTACTGATAACTACATGTTGCAATGATGGTTAGAACACTGGGGTTTTTTTCTAGACAACTTCACGTTTGTGTAACTATGGTACTTTGTTTCCTGGCCTTAACAAGCACAAATGCTCAAGCACATTTGCTTCACAGTAAGGTTCTCTGACATCATGATGTCACAAGATTCAACATAAAAAAGTTTTGTCATAGCCTAAAACACACTGCTGATTCCACTGGAATTGATTCACATATTAAGTAGCCATTCAATTGTACTGTACATAGTTGTATGTAAAAAGGAATCCATCAACATGTATGAGTAGGTGAACAAGTTGAATAATAAGATACAGCAAGAATCCTTGGCCTCTTAATGCCCAGCAACAATGAAAAATTTGTTCTTTTCCAGATGTTGCCCACTGCCAACCTTTCGCACCACTGCTACACTGGCTGAGGCCAATGGAAATTATACTTAGTAACATCTGGAGGGCTTACCACACCTAGCAGAGATGCAAACGGAAAAAAAAAAATCACATTTCCATGCTTTTTCTCCCACCGAAGCACAATAAAAAAATGAAACCATGCTTTAGGAATTCTAAGTGACAATACAGACAATTGTACTCTAAAATAACGATATACACAATTGTGGTATACACTTATGCAAACAAATGTGTGGAACTTACACCTTTGGAAAAGCAAAAAGGAGTAGGGCTGCCTTTTAACTCTAGGGGCCTCTCCTAAGGCCACATTTGGATGCACGATATCTAAAAGGAACTTGTATGGCTACCATATGGCTTTTTTGGAGTCTTACATTCTTAAGAGAAGCTTAAAACTTGTAAAACCCAAATGCACTAAGAAGATCTACAAAGCATTTTTTTTAAAGCAGCTTTTAACTTTACAATGCACACTTCACTGGAATAAAGACATCACGAGGACAGAGAAAACATAGTTTGGCACTACTTTCCCCCACTTTCTTCATTCCTGCAGCACTTTCTCAGAAAACTTTCATACAGAAAGTTCAAAACTCTCACCCTACTTACCATATTTAAATATCCACACTTCTTTTGCAGATGTTATAAATCAAAGGTCTCGTTCCCCAATCCTCAAATCCCTGTGCCCAGGCTAGCTGGGGATGCTGAGAAGTCTAGTCCAAAACACAGCCAAAAAGACATCAGGCTGGAAAAGGCCAGGTTAAAATTTTACCATACAAGGAACAGTAACAGATGTTACCTTGTCACAGCATTTGCCCAATGGATGGCTAACAGAGATTTGACTGCCATGGAACAAAGAGCAAAAGATACCCCACCACACACCAGTGGAGAGTGGGAGGGTGGTTGGCTGAAAGTTGAAGGACAGAAGTCACTCTGCAGTGCTCGGGAAATCGGCCACGGAGGAGGAAAGTGTTTACAAGTTATTGGTTTTTTTTTTAACCAACATCACAAACAATAACCTAGAGAATTGAACAGGGATTTGGTCTAGTTACTTTCCAAATTCACTTCATTTCCAACTCTCCCTCCCTTTTGCATACAACACTTACAACTTAAATTCTATTTAAAGTCGTTGTTCAGAAAAGAGAAGACGTAGAGACTTACATCAGAAGATTCAATAATAATAATAATAATAATAATAATAATAATAATAATAATAATAA